GGGTTGAATTTCTTGTCAGGGTGACAATTCTATCTTTATATGCAAAAGCTGCCACTCTGAATGCAGGCATGCATTGTTTTTATTTTGTTTACTGGTTTTCTGGGTGAATAGGTAGAGGTTTTGACCAAGAGACACTTCTGCTTTGGTCTGTGATTGTGGATTTTTCCTATGGTACCGTCTCTGCAGTGGAAGAGGCAAACTGATCACTGTTAAGTGATATCCCTAGATCATATTCAAATTAGTCTTACTAGACTTGCAATCAATAAAAATAGAGCACAAGTGGGCAGAGGTACTTATAGCCCTGGAATTGGACCTCAGCGAAGTCATTTTTTTACTATGCTACAAACCATCAGAGTTTAAGATGCTTTACTTTGAACATCAAAAAGATTTTCTTAGCTAAATTTAGATTTGAACTTTTTGGCAGACCCTTGGAAAACGAAGGTGGTTTGTTTTTAACTTTCTGATTAACCACCTCTCTCAAGTGAACCAGTGAGTTTTTTGAACAATGACAAAAAAAGTCAAGACTTAATTGATGTTTGTTTGATCTCATTTGGTTTGGTGTATGCTTATTCATACTCTCTTTTGATTACTTATGTTTCAGTTTGTCTCAAGTTACAGAAAAATAAATGAAGTAAGGAGCATACCAAAATCTTGCACTTAGGCCACAGATAGACTATTTGTTCTAAACTTAATGTGGTGTCTGCAGCAGGTGGGGTTGTTGATGACAATGCAGAGAATGAACGGCATCTGTCAAATGTCAAACACCAACACATTGTACTTCAAGTTGTACTTGGAACACAGAAGCCATCTGCCTCGAGCTCCCTCATCTATCTCAAAAACCTCTGCAAGTCTTCATGGCTCCCCTTCCCAGGGGAGGAGCTGGACCTCCTGACACCGCCTGCTCACCTCCTGCCCTCTTTGAAACCTCAGCCTCTTCTCCCTCCATGCCTCTCCCTGACTAACACATTGAGGACTCTGGTTCCCACAGCTTCTTCCCTTGACATTCCTACCCCCACCCCCAAATCTATTGTCATACGTTTTGTCCACCAAAAGTAATAAAAGTGTGGACTCCTGTGGTATTGTCTTTTTAAAAAAACAAAACAAAACTAGTTTTTCTTACTTAGCTATAAAAACTTTCCAGATCACAAAATCAAGTTACTTAGCATTTTCAATCTGTCATTCCCCTAGACATTCTATAGATGTGATCCTGAGTGGCTGTCCACTTGCTCACCCACTGCTGACCTGGCTTTTCTGATTCTTCATGACCAGTCTTTTTGTCCCCTTTGTTTATTTAGATTCCTCCTCCCTCCCACTCCTTCCTGAGATCTTCATATTCCTCAGATGTTAGGCCACAGCTTTTTTTAAGTTTGCTGGTCTCTCACAGCCTTCCTTTACTGTTAATTTCATCTAGGTGACTCCCAAATCCAGAATGTATACTCTTGATCTCAGTCCTAACTTCCTCTAGTATGCTTTCAGTGATCTGTGAGCAGTTCTGTCATGATGCCCTGCCATGGATTCAACATATCCCCAAATGACATCCCCACCAAGTCCTACTTTTGAATTCTTCTCTTACTTACATAGGCTCAACATCTATGCTTTTCTTCCCCTTGTCATCACTATCCATAGACCCCAAACCTTTCCAGGTAATTTGTGCCACCCTCTGGTTTCCTACTCCTCTGACTCCTGCTGGACCTTCATTCACATCTGAGACATCCTCCAAGCTTCTCTGTCCAACTCAGTTCCTCCTAATTCACCTTACACAATGTCACCAGATTAATCTTGTAATTCACAAGCACGTACACACACCCCTTCCTTGTTCAAAAACCTTTAATAGATTCCCTATTTTCCATATAATTAAGTATTTCTCCCACTCCCTTCCCATCCTCACTCCTGAATTGGCTCCTGAGCTCTCCCCTACCTCATTTTTTACCTTTTGCCTCTCTAACATTTCCAGCCAATGTAGTTGTTCACTTTCTCCAGAATGCTTTTAAAATCCCCTCTATTTAGCCTTTGTTCTTGGAGCTCTACCCGCAGTGATTCCCTGGACCCACCTTATTTAATAATGCCTTCTCTTCAAGGCTCCATGTTAAGGTGTTCCTCCTCCATGAAGTCTCTTTCACCTGCCCTGGCCCCCAGCTAACCTGTCCTCCGAACCTCACCTGGGGTTACTGGACTCAACACCTGTCCACCCTTTAACATAAGATGAGGTCAGATTTAGTGCAAAATTGTGTCTTCAATCTGAGGTACAGTTTTGGTGGCAGGAACTTGAGTCTTTTATTTCTCTACAGGGTTTCCATAAAGTCTGAAACCATCAATTATTGTATTTGTGCACAGATTGCAAATATCCTTGATGACATAATGCGTGTTCATTGCATTCTGAAGTCGGTGGGCATCTCATGCATTTTGTGCTGTTATAGCATCTCACACACAGTAGGCATTCAAATGGGTAAACAATGATTCCTTATCATGGTGGCCTAGGAGTGAGTGAAACAAAGTATGCAAGGACAGAATTTGGAGAAAGAGACCAAAACGTAGTTAAAAGGAAACATTGGATCTACTGCTCCCAGCAAATTCCTGTTTTGTTTCTCTCCCAGTACTTCTGCCATTCTGTTCGAAACCAACTTCCCAGGCTCTGCTCTGGACCCTGGCTTCTCAGGAAAGGTTTTCTCGATTACCCCCTGGCAGCTGGATGCAACTGCACTTACTATACCACTTTGTCTTGATTCCACCTCTGACAATGAACTTGAGGGGAAAGAACCATGTCTTGTTCATGCACCACACTATGTACTACCCAGAAAGTACATAAAAAATGCTCTGGAATGAAGGAAAAGCCATCTCAACAGCAGGCAGCAGCACCAAGCCCTTCCTGTATGCTAAGTGCTGTACTTGGCACCGGCACCCACCTGTGAGGTCTTGTTTGAATCTTATCTCAGCCCTCTGAGGAAGGTACATCATTTCCTCCATTCTACAGAGGAGGGTACTGAGACTCAGAGATGCTAATTAATTTTTCCACGGTCACAAGTTAACTGATAGTTCTGCTCCAGGCTTGTTTGCAGGGTTTATACTGTGATGACCCGTAAATGTAACCATCTGGTTTTACCACCTCTGTGTGTGTGTGTGTGTGTGTGTGTGTGTGTGTGTGTGGTGTGTGTAGGTGTGTGTGTAGGAGGTGGGGGGGTTCTCCATTGCCCTTCAGGGGTTACCTGAAATAAGGAAATGGGATTGGATTGTATGAAGTCACTGGTGGAGCTTTTTTTTGTTTGTTGGCAGTACTGAGGGTTGAGCTCAGGGTCTCAAGTTTACTACTCAAGAATTCTACCACTTGAGCCATGCTCCCAGCCATTTTTGGCCTTGGTTATTTTTAAGTAGAGTCTCCCTTTATGCCCAGGCTGGCATACACCTGGAACCTCCTATTTATGCTTCCTGCACAGCTGGAATGACAGATGCATGCCATACTGTGCCCAGCCATTGGTTGAGATGGGGTCTCTTGAACTCTTTGACCAGGCTGGCCTCAAACTGTGATCCTCCCAATCTCAGCCTCTCAAGTAGCTAGAATTACCATGCCTGGCCTGGTGGAGTTTTTTTTAAAGGGTATCTGGGGGCTGAGGGCCTGGCTCAAGTGGTAGAGTGCCTGCCTAGCAAGCAAGAGGCCCTGAGTTCAAACTCCTGAACCACCACCAAAACGGGGTGTCTGGGCCCTACCCCAGACAAATAAAAAAGTTTTCCTGAGTTTTCAGTATCTCTCTCTCTCTCTCTCTCTCTCTTTTTTGTGGTACTGGAGATTGAACCCAGGGCCCCGTAAATGCTAGGCAAGTGCTCTACCATTGAGCTATAGGACCAACCTGGATGGTATTAATGGCTTTAACAAGCATCCAAGTAATTGTAACAGGAATCTGGATTGACAGTCCCTGTCTTCTGTTGATCTAATGGCCTTCCCAGTGCAACATTAATCCATATCTTCTTCTGTGTCCAACACACAAAGTATTGACAAAAGCCTAATGATGCCAACCTGGGAATGTACTGTAACCCATGTAGGCATAGAGGAACCTCTACCCACAGAAAAAGTAGGAGGAAGATCCCAAGGACAGACTGTAGCATTGAAGAGTTGCTTAAAAATGGGTAGCTGGATTCTATGCACATACAGGCTAGAAGTACTTAACACTGGAATTAGTGAAATAAACTGTGTCTTAATAAAGAGGACACCCTGTATTTCAGTATAAGTCAAATGATATTATCACTGAATTTACACTTTACTTCCTTCAAAATTTCCATAGGATGTGAGAAGCAAGTATGCTTCATGATATGGTGTAAAAAAAGAAAGATGCAGCTATGTTGTTGTAAATGTCAAATGAAAACATTTATGAGAATATTCTGCATACTATAATGCAATACAAAATAGATTATACCTTAATTTTCACATAGAAGGAAAGATGGCATTTGTTTTATCAAAGATTGTTATATATGGATCAAGTCACGCTACATGAATGGTTATATGTTGTTTCCACACTGTGTAATAAACAGCTTCCTATGTATGGAAGAATGTTTATTTCATCCACCCATCTAGGACTTCAGACTTCACCCTATTAAGATGAGCAGACTCATAAAAAATGCAATATTCAGCTCAAAATGAGAATATTTCCCCCAAACATGAGAACTGCCTTGAGGAGATAAAAACACAGTACTGTCCACGAGGAAGTTCTTTGCAGACCTCTGAGGTTACATAATAGTCCCTCAAGATAACTCAAGACCTTGAGAAAAACACACTGACTCTCTTTATTCTCATTTTCTTCTCTCTTTTTTACCCCTCTCTTGCTCCATGAACACTTTGAATATGTTGCTCTTCGACTACTTCAATAGAAGACAGATTCTACTTAATGTCAATAGTTGAAGAAACAACCAGAAATTCAACATAGTCCTTTATCTAACTCATCAGCACAAAATAAGAATTCTTCAGAATTTATCAAAACAGTGTATCAGAAATCATTTTACTTTTTTTTTTGGTCTTTTTACTTTTTAGAGTAAATATAACACAGTGGATAGCTTTAGAACAAGCTAACGTTACTATGATCCAGGCATGGCAACTGGTACAACTCAGTAGTACATAAACACCTTGAACAATGCACAATGGGCCAGAAACTTAAGTTACAAAATACAGTCAATATCACAATTAAGACAGATAGTAAAAACCATTACTCTCAGATTCTACACACTTAAAAAAACATAGACTTTATACAATGATTGATTGCATCTCTACTCAGCTTCTTAGGGCTTGTTACAAATACACCTAATCCTATGGTGTGGTCACATTTTGGTTTTGTTCCAGTGGTACACAATCACATGAAATGTTATATCCCTTTTGTGTGAAATAAACATTTGGCTAAAGTACAATAGCTGCTGAGTTAAAAAATGTCTCCATAAAAATGTGTAGATGAAAATATCCTTCCCATTACAGTTCTAATTAGGGTTATTTTTGAAAGTCCTCGCGAAGAGTCCTTGAGAACTGTAGAAATAGAAGCAGTTAGGAAATTTCAGTGTATTTGAGTAAACAAATACTGGATCTAAAGTGCAGCTTCCTCCTCCTCTCCCTCTGATTCTCCCTCCCTCACAAAGTTTAGTTCTGTATTCATTTTCAGAATCTCTGTCGAAGATTAAATTGAGTGACAGTCAAGTGTGTTTGTCTCGAAAGTCAATGATGGCTTTCCACAGTGTACACAGCATTCCTCCCCTGTATAAAGACACAAGAACAAGGTGAAGAACAGTCTTTTCCTTTGAAACACTGCCCTGGAAATAAATATAGCAGTGACTTCTTAGCTACCAGCTGCTTTGGTTAGACCCTGAAGCTCCTGAAGTCTTACCAGTCATTGTGTATCCTTCTTTGTATATATTTTCTCATCAGTCCCCCATTCCTTTCTTTTTCACTCCCATAAGTTGCCAGGTCCCAGAATACCATTTTAGATTGTCAACATTTTTGGAATGTGTCATTATAGAGAGGTGAGTGTAAATTAGAGAACACTATAGCAAGAAATTGGTATCAGGTTATACCAGGGTTTTGGATGGCAAGTCAACACCTCACTCAACATTTCCAAAAAGTATGAGATTCTCATGAGCTATGTTAGAGCACATGCTGACAGCAATCTTAGAGTATCAGCATGGACCTAGCCTACACATTAGTCAAGAAAATGTTTCCAGTATTTCACTTGCATAGAAATACTAGTGAGTAGAGCACCCCAAAATAGCCAGGTCCAACTAACTCAGTTTACTTGGAGCAGCTAAAAACCAGAATGCTCTTACTGGACTGGGAAGCTAGTTAAAGAGACTCAGCAGGGCAGGAGCCCAGTCTTCCCACTCTCAGCCATCATAACTTATCGGAAAGAAAAGTGGTACCTTATTCTCAGACATTTTAAATCATCACGTGTAACGTAGTAGAGAACATCCACCAGTGTGTAATCCTCAGCCAAAAACTGCAGAGAAAGCAATATGTACACAGAAGTAAGATATTTCATGTGCAGTTAATGAAAGAAACCCATCCATAACACAGACAGTGGTGATAATTAAAAATGAATATAAAAGGAAATCCACTAAACATAATCTTCTAGAATAATTAGAAAAAGGCCTTCTTGTTACAAAATAATGACAAAGAAGTGCGTTCAGATGACTTTCCAATACATGTGACACCGAATTTCTGGATAGGCTTCTAAGGAACAGATAAGACCCCCTTGTAATTACATCTGTGGCTCATAAACAAATGTTTGTATTGAAGAAGTTTGGGCTAGGGCCATGGCTCAAGTGTTAGAGCTCCTGCCTAGTAGGTACAAGATCCTGAGTTCAAAACACATACCAGGATAAAAAAAGAATAAGTTTGGTAGTTCATACCTTTGTTTTTTCCCTAGTTCATAAAAAATGTTCTTGGGAAGTTAATTCCTGCTTATATTTAATCTCTGAGCTTACTTTTTCACAGCTGACCAAAGAGACTTGCCTGTAATTCACTGCAAAATCAGAGTCCTGAGTTTAAACTTCAAATATTTTTAAATAAAATTCACTGTTGAATTTCCACCCTTCCTATGGTTATTGGTTGATATCTATTGTTTAATATTTGTTTTTAATGTTCTTAAATTGGTCAATATTCTTGTTTTTCCGAAGGTGACAAATAGTCACTTTGTGCCCTACTGTACACGCTGAAGGTAAGGTTTATTTAGTGCCTACTACCTCGTACTTCTGCTTTGTCATAAAGATATGTCATGCAAGACAGACTCCTCCTCTGCCTCCTCCTAATAATACCTTCACATGGTTTACCATGTGACAGCTCCTGTCACGTAATTGTTAAGAACAAAATTCTTAGGCGACTCTAAATTTTATTTAATGATCCAATAGATTATCAAAGTCAAGGAAAAACATCTTAATTTTTAATTGTTCTTGAGTACAAAAATAAACTGAAATCAAGATAACATTTTCAGAAGTCCTTTCTAGACAGTTACAGTGATGCATGGCTGGGAACCCCACACTTGGGAGGCTGAGGCAGGAGACTAATAAGTTTGAGACTGGCCTAAGCTATATAGCAAAGACACTGTCTCCAAAAAGCAAAAAGAAGAAAAGAGGTCATTTTTGCCAAATAATATCACCGCTTAATGTGTGTGTTTATATATGTGTGTAATCTTAAAAAACAGTGCTATTCATGCTCATTATAAAAATGTATAATGATCAGAGAGGAGTTAGATTATAATTAGACATAATATGGCTTGTACAGAAAACATTTCTGACATAAATTTACCTACTAAATCTATTTTATTAAGTAGCAATAGCCATTGCCCAAGGAGTCTAATAATGCTGGAAGAGAATTAAAATTTTAACAACAAAAGAAAGTGGCCTTTTATTCTAGCTACTGGTGAGGCAGAGATGGAAAGGATCATGGTTCTAGGCCAGCCTGGGCAAAACGTTTGTGAGATTCCCCCCAACTCAACCAATGGTTGGGAGCTGTGGTGTGCACCTTTCATCCCGCTAAGCACAAACAGGAGGATTGTGGTTTAAATTTGTCTGGACAGAAAGCAAAACCCATCTCAAAAATAACCAAAGCAAAAAGGGCTGGGGCCTGGCTCAAGTGGTAGAATGCCTAAGTTCAACATCCTATACAGAATAAAAAAAAAAAAAAACAAACAACAAAATAAAACAGTAATAGAAGAACTTTTCTGTTTTAGTTATGTCTTGATTTTTTCCTTACTCTTCCTAATTTCCAACTTCCTTAGAGATTGTGGACAACAAAGCTTTTGCTGCCTCCATGCCTTTCCCATCCTGTACCCCCAGGTCCAGATGATCTTCTTATCTGGCCCTCGTCAAAAAAACATGCATCCACTTGGCCTAGTTTATTTCTACATATTCCTGTAGACTCATGTATCACCTTCCTGGACAACCTCCCCATCCCCCTCTCTTGTAACTCCTGCAAACGTTCCTCATAAAATTCACCAGTGTATAATTATATATACATATATACTCTATATAACATACAGTATATATAGTATTTATAATACGTATAATTTTTGGCAGTACTGGAGATTAAGTTCAGGGCCTTGTGCTAGCTAGACAAGCACTTGAGCCATGCCCCTCGCCCTTTTGCCTCTTTTTTTTTCAGATAGAGTCTCACACTTTTGCCCAAGGCTAGCCTCGGACCGCTCATGATCCTTCCTGAATAGCTGGGATTACAGGTATACACCACTACACCCAGCCCTAATTCTATTTTTTTAATCTGTGAAATTATCTGAGTATCATCAGCCTACATTAGTCTATAAGCCTCAGAAGGGCAGGGCTGGCTCGGACTTGCTCATCAGGGTGCCCCTGGGCCTAGAAGAGGGCCTGGTTCATAGCAGGCATGCAATATTATGAAACAGAGTAAAGGAGTATGGGTCCCGCAGATGGTTTTCCTTACCCGACTTATAGTGTCTTCATCAGCTCCATTTTCTCTCAGCCAGCTGGTGAGTTCAGAATCCTCAGTGGCTGTGCCAGGAGAATTCGGGTGGCACACAGGCAACCCGGGAATATCTAGAACCAAATTTGAGTGGGAGGGGGGATATACTTAGCTTCACCTAACAAAGATCAGCTGAGATTCTCATAGTCCACAGACATTTATTGATACTCTAAAAGACTTTTCTCAATCAGAGAATAGTTTTAGAAACAGTTGAGATTGGCAGTAAAAGTGATAGGATAAGAAAACTCAGGCTAGTTAATCTGGCAGTAAACAGGGAATCAGAGGCAATAGTGAGTTGGTATTCCCAGTGTATGCTTTCATATCAATTGCATAGTTTTTTGAAATAAACCTCATGCACCAAAATTAAGCCTTGTATTTTTCATGACAAAAAACCCCCCATGAACACAATTAGCAGAAAAGTTTAACAATATAATAATCTCTTTTTCCACTATTTGTATTAATATGAAAGAGATGGACATCTGGACAAATAACTATGAATTATATTTTCTTCTAAATCAGCTAAGCAAATTCTCTAAAGGTTACCTTTCACCCTCAGCTTCTCATATGTTTTTTTGAAGTTTTAACCCATGACTTATTTGTATATCCTTATTTTACTTGTCTGTTCAAGTTAAAGCAGAAAAAAGCTAGAATATACTGAATATAAATGCACAATAACAAAAATAGTATTATTTTATTCTAGTAATCTCACTGTGAAATCCTTAAAAAGAAATAAACACTAAATCAGGGGAAAGTCCTATTTACCTCAGTAATATATATGATCTCAGAAAAGCTAACTATGAATCATACATACACTTATAAGAAATTACAGTTTGTTACACTTAAGAATTGGATTTTTTTTTTAATTCTGCTTGTCATTGTGATGCAAGAGATAGATGCTGGTTAAGCTATGACATAAAACTTCCCCTTGGCCTTCTCAGCTTTTTTTTTTTTTTTTTGTGGTACTGGGGCTTGAACTCAGGACCTTCACCTTGAGCCACTCCACCACCCCTATTTTTGTGAACAGTTTTTTCGAGATAGGGTCTCACGAACTATTTGCCTGGGCTGGCTTTGAACCTCAATCCTCCTGATCTCTGCCTCCTGAGTTGCTAGGATTACAGGTGTGAGCCAGGGGCACCTTGCTCTTCTTAGCTTTTTGGAAAGTCTTGATTGAACAGGATTACTTCAAAATTTCCTGCTGTTTACCTATTGGTTCGGACTTAAGCTTCAGGTGTCTAATTTCTTGGTCTTTTTCTTCAATAGCTTGATGAAGGAGTGCTTGTAATTCCTTCTCTTTCCGAACCAATTCTTCCAGTAATCTACAGGAGGAAATTACATTGGTTGATCAAAGGTAGAAGCAACAGAGTGATTTAGACATGGGCTTCTCAAGCCATAGTGGGCACAGACACTCCTGAGGTTTTACACAAATAAAGATTCCGATCCAGGAGCTCTGGGATGAGGTCAGGGAACTCTGCATGTCTTACAAGCTCCCAGCTTGGTTCACAGACACCGCCCCCCCTTAAACCTCCCATTCCAGTTGCAAAATTTTAGAAGACTCTGTGCTTCCAGGGAAGATCCAAAACCTCTGTTGCAGATGGTCTGCCAAAATCTTCAGAGATACTGTTCGACTGATTTTTTTAATGACCATAAATGCCAAAAATACAAATATGGGATATTAATAGACAAATATTTTACAGGTATGGCCCTCATCAGAAAAGTTAGCAAACTGGGATAATATCATAATCTATGCAAAGCAGAAACGTAATTACTTTTCTTAAGCTATGACAATTTGAGAAGTAGGTCTAGGAGAGATTGCCAAGAATACCTGGTGTGTGACAACTGCTCAATAAATGTTAATGGCTGTTGTGGCAATGGTAGTTGTTACTACTGTTGTTCTTCTTCCTTCTGGGAAGGAGAGTGGGGCTAGTGAAGTGGGTAAAAGAATAGCTTTGTCCTGGTATGTTCAGTTCCTGGTTGGCACTCAATGCAGTTGCCAAAGAAACAAGAGGGAGCTATGGTACTCAGAACATGGTGCTTCCATAGAAGGTTCACTTTGCAACTGAGAACCAACTCCTAACCTACTTGCCAAGTCCAACACTGTCTCTTGAGGAAAACGCTCCAAGTTATAAGAGGAGATGCTCTATTTTTTATAAAAATATCTTTAAGTAAGTTGGATTCAGAGTTTAAAATATAGTTTAAAATACATAATTATTAGTAAGATCATTAAGACAAATTAGTGCTACTCTAGAGCTCTTGACAACGTTGTTTTCTCTTCTGACTATTGATAGACTTAACTCAGGACCACGTTCCATCCAAAAGTTTGTTCTGCTTTAGTTGACAAGCTTTGAAGGCAGCACGATGCAGCTGAGATAGGCCTGGGCTTATGGCCTGGTTCAGCCAAGCGCTTCCTGAGTTAACTTAGACAAATGATTGCTCAGTGACTCCGGGTTTCTGTTTTCTCATTTGTAAAAAGGAAGAGGAAAATTTCTGGAAAGCCTCACAGTGAGGGTTAAATGAGACAGTGTAGGTAAAGTGCCTCACACCGTGCTTGGCCTTTGGCAGGGGCTGTTCTGGGCCCTGCTACAGGCTCAGACCATGGAAAAGAATTTCTCCAGGGCTCTGTAGGGATTTTTGTTCTGAGTCCCAGACTCCATCTCATTCCACAGCACGTAAAGATAAGCCCTTAGGAAGGAGGAGGGATTATAGTAGAGCAGACAGTGAAGGTAAATCACAATGAAAGGCAGACAGATAGGTGGGTTGTGGAAGACAGGTAAAGCAAAGATACCTGCAGAGTAGAGACGGTGCACAATTATGTAGGTTAAGCAACATGAACTGAGAGCAAAAGGAGGAAGCGGAGGGCTAGAGGGAGACTTTCTGTCTATTCCAACATGAATGACATTCTCAGAGTGGACAGCAAGGTCTGTATGAATTTTCAAATTGGCAATTTTTTGCTTTGGTGTATATATTTTTGTCTACCTTGCTAATTTTCATGTATGGAAAAAAGTGATAGATATCCCTATTGTTTTCTCAAAGAACACAGAGATATTTTCTAGAATTTCACATATGTTTATCTAGGCTAGATAGTACCTTTTTTTTTTTTAATCTTTAAAAAGCCAGAACTTCACACCAGAAGCACAGGATTGTGAGTCCATGTTATTTGCCCCACGTCCAAGTCCAGCTCTTAAAACTATCCTGAGTATGTATCAGTCCATCAGTTTTAGTTTTACTTTGTGTTCAGTTAGTAGGGAAATACTGTGTAATGAAGGCAGCTGTCTGCCTCTCTGTTCCAGAAACAAGGAAGTACCATGATGCTGGTGTTAAGTCAAGTGAGCAGAAGCTAGTGAGGTAGGCTGGTGGGAATCCTAGAATTGTAGGACAGGGAAGTTAGATAATCAGACAGTGCCTTCTAAATTTTACTACTGTTCCCACATCTCCTGTGTGAAGTGAATTTTATTATGCATTTAGTTAGTAGAAGTAAGACATGTCTAAAGCTATTTTCTTACTTCTTGTCATTTACAATTATTGATGATCTATTAACCAAGGGCTGGATAAGCCTGATTTACCTTTATCAATGATCATCCTAAATATTATAAACTTAAGACTGTTAACATGAGAGCTATAACCTAAACACACACACATTTTCTCTAGATTTTTTCTCTAGATTAATTTTGGAATATATATACTTCTTGGGGGAGATTTGAACCCAGAGCTTCACACATGCCAGGCAAGCTGCCTACCCCTGAGTTACATCCCCAGCATGCTATATATATATATATATATATATATATATATATATATTATAATTTTATATTGCAAATAATATTCAACTGAAAATGTATAAGACCAATACAGATAGGACCCAGTCCCTGACTTTAGTTGCTCAGTGCTTGTACTAAACCAGTCATTCTTTCTTCAAATTATGTGTGAAGCAAATGTTGCACCTTATCTCACTTGTCTGAGGGCAATGGAGGAACTGTGAGAGATAATGACTGAAAAATGAAAAAGGAGGCTAATAGCCCTATCTCACAGGTTCAGTTCTAAGTATGTAAAGAAAGCACACACCTGTGCGGGTTGTTGCAGAAAATGTAGCTATGTAGTAATGTGATAAAGAAACATAACGTGGGAGATCTTAATCTCAACAGAGATGGGAAGATGTGAGAAGCAAGACCTTAGGAGGGGCCAAGAAAACCTCAGAAGAGAAATGTGAAAACATGAAGAAAACAATAGAGCAGCCCTTAGGACCACAGATGTCACAAACATGGCAGACAGAGGCAGCCCCAGGTGATGAGCAGAAGGCCAACTAAATGGGCAGAGGAGAGAAAGGAAAGGAATATACACGTAGGTTGCATTCAGAGAGGGAGGTCCTGTTGACATAGCCAGGTGTGTAGACAAAAGGTTGCAGGGCCAGAGGACCAGACAAACCAGCTCTTTGGTAAACAAAGTAGCTTTCCTGACTGTATAATTCTGACCAGATGCCATGGGTGGGAAGGGGTGGACCAAAACAGTAATGAGGGAAATTTTCTCCTCCAACAATCAGGGATCCAGAAAACAACTCCAGTCAGGCTTGGGCAACAGAGTAAAAACAGAAGTGACTGAAGTTTGCACCTATTATAATGGATGGGATGTTAAAATTGAACTGTTGCTTGAGGAGAGGAGTGAGAGACACCAAGACTTAAACAAAGTCTCAGAAGAGAAAAGACTCAAGTTTTTTTCCTTCCACTAAGTAATAGGAAAAGACTGGGTCATGGAAGTCAGACGGCCAATTCCCATTTTTATAAAAGATTTCTCTATGCAAATTATAGAAGATAAGACTGCACAGCTTTACTAAATCATGCAACCAAAACTTATTTCTGAATAAAAGATGAGCTTTGTAACTAAGTTTGGGATTCAAGTTTTACTTTAGAAACCTAAACTTATAAACAGAAATAAGATTTTTTTTTTATCACCCTGGTGAACAACTAGAATCTTCAACTAAGTTTTCTAAACATTTAAACAACTTTTATTGATTTGCTAAAAAAAAAAAAAAAAGTTTTCACCACAGGCACAGAGCCATAAAGTCAGTTCCCCACATGTCAACCATAGCCAGCACAGGAAGCCATAAATTATGAATTCAGACCTTGAACTGTGCCAACATCTGTGAAGAACAGGAAGAATTTACTGTTCACTAAATAACCTGTTCTTGGGATCCTATACTACCAAATTCTCAAAGACAAATTAAACTGCAGATATATAACAGCATATTAAAAATAAAATAGTCATAAATGTGATCAATGATCATCTTTTCAAGTCTTTAAAGTGCAAACTTGGTTCTGTCTCCTTGAGCACTGAGATCTTCCTATCCTGAAAGAACTTTATATTCCAAATCCCAGGCTTTCAAGAACACTGACTTTGTGTTCTGTATTTCAGCTATCTACCAGATGGAACAGGCTGCTCTGAGTCTTTGTTTCCAATAATTTATGAGGTTACAGCTCAGCTTATTGCAAATCCCAGGGCACATGGAGATAAAGCAGCAATCAAAGAAATGGTGCTAAGGAAGACTTGAACTTGTAAAGGCAGAAATGACAATAAAAGATAATAAAATATAAGCTTTGTGCTAAGCTCTCCTGTTCCATAAAGAAATACATTAAGTCAAGTTGACATGAGTAGGATAAAGAAAACACAGTTTATATGTTGTATACACAAGAGGTTCACAGTAGACCAAAACTGAATGCTCTTTTGTAGAAGTAAGAAAGAAGAAAGTACCCCTGCTTAGGACATACCTGTTTGTTTCTATTTTCATCCTGCCAAGCTGCACATTGAGTGACCGATGAGCACTTTGGGAATCGTGGGATACAGTGGAGCTGAGTGTGCTCACCCCAGAGGTAGCCACAGCATCGTCGATGATGGCCTGAGGTCTTCGGACAGTCTGATTTGAAGGTGCTTCTTCATGGTCATCTTCTACATCCAAGTCTTCCGGATCAGCCGTGTCACTCTCTGAGGCAAGGCTAAAATGTGGCCTCAGTTCTGTTAGGCACAATATCAGCAATAGTGTTAATAAAATATAACTGGTTACCTCTATGACTAGAGGAATGAGTATCAGTCCCGCTACTACCCAAATTGCTCTTCCAAAAGTGAGGGTGGATTTCTGTGCCTTAGTTCAAATCTGTTCTTTCAGTGGATTTACAAAATTTACAGGATGTAGAAATTCAGTCAGAGTGATTTCATTCAAACAAGAAAAATGTCCATCCTTTACATAAGATCAGTGGGAAAAAGGCTAAAATCTGAAGGAAAGGTAATGATGTAAAAACCTATTAAGGATATAAAAATTTGGTTTTTTTACAAATAAGACTCAGATTATATGATGTCGACAGCTATTAATTTGCTTAGCAATAAGGATACTACGATATATAAAGATGACATGGACAAACCAAGTACACAGGATATTTTTCCTGTAACATTTGCAATGTAAGGGGACTCAGGACAGGTGCTGGAGATGCCTCAGCTGTGCTTGTGTTAACATCAGTAAGACCACCTCTCTTTGACTCTTGGGTTGACTGTTATTGTGCGTCCTGCTCTAGCCTTTTGACTAATCATTGAAATTTAAAGTGCAAAAGTTACAAGCTTACAACTTAAACACACTATTTAACATGGATTCGTCTGCATGTCACTTCAGAACTTGGGTGACATATTCTCATAAAATACTGCATAAATTGTGATTAGGTCCACAAATGGGCCCACAAAAAAGAAATTGTAATTCAAGTGAAGTCAGGGTAGAAAATACTGGACACCATATGCTCTGGCACATGGAACTTTTATCAGATCACAGAACCTACTGAGAACCTGATAAAAGTCACAGACTCTTCCCCAGAAGAAAAATACATTTTGACTACATTTCCTAATTTTGCTTAGACTTTTTTTTTTCCCAGGTGCTGGGGACCAAACCTAGAGCCTCACCACTGAGCTAAATCCCCAATCCCTTGCCTGGATTTCTTAGATTTACACCGATTTTCTGACTCTATCCCAAGAGTCCATGAATCACTGGTTAAGAGGTCCTGTGTGGATGAGGGGAATCTGGTGGGGGCAATGGAAGATGCCATCCTACCACTTCAAAATGGCCACTGTGGCACTCACCAAAGACCTGTTTCCAAATCCTCCAGATGGTTGTTCTGTGAACAGTATTTTCCCCAAAGGGAGAGGCTATTGCTTCTTTTCCCTTATCTACTACCCTCCCCTTAGAAGCTGGAACCTGGGTTCTACCCTCACTTTTTTGTTTTTACTTATTCTCCATGGGTGAGGTTATTCAACTCTGTGAAGGTTAAGTCCTTCTAATGTGTGCTCCAATCCTGTTGCATGCAGAATATCCTAGGTATTCCTCAAATTCAACACCTCTTCCTTATAACAAGAACCAGGTCATCATTCAAGGCCAGGTTTACATAGCCCTGGCCTCCTTCATCTCTTTTTCTAAATGAAACAAAACTTATTGTGGTTTAACAAGTACATGACATAAAATTTAGCACACTAACCATTCCTAAAAATAGCACTCAGTAATGTTAAGTACAGTCCACACCACCATGCAACCCATCTCTAGAACTCTTCATCTTGCAAAACTGAAACTCATACCCCTCAAACCATAACTCCCTATTTTCCCCTCCCTCCAGCCTCTAGAAACGACTTTCCTTTCTGTTTCTACGAATTGCCTACTCTAGGTATCTCATGTAAGAGGAATCATATGGGATCTTTTTGTGACTGCCTCATTCCACTTAGCATGATGTCTTCAATGTTTATCCATTTTGTAAGCATGTGTTAGAATTTCCTTCCTTTTTAGGACACAATAATATTCCATTGTATTTATGTGGCATATTTGTTTATTCATTCATCTGCTGGCAGGTACTTGGGTTGCTTGTACCTCATGGCTACTGTGAATAGTGGTGCTGTGAACATGGGTGTTCAATATCTCTTTGAAATCATCCTAATTTATCTTAGTACAAATGACTTTAAATCAGGTGTCTTAGCACCTAGTACAGGACATAAACACTTCAGAGTCTCAAAAAAAATACAGTGTGAGTAGAATGAAATAGTCATCCTAGGATTATTTGGGTTTAGAAGGGAATAATGAAAAAAATTAATTTATAAACAATTTAAGATAGTATAATTCTAGATTAAATTAGAAGTCAAGATTAGAACTTTAATCTGGTTTCTTTTCTAAAGCATCTAAATTGCTGGCAGAGTGGCTCAAATGGTAGAGCCTAGTAAGCATGAGGCCTTGAGTTCAAACCCCAGTACCTCCAAAAACAAAACAAAACACCCAAGAAACAAAAAACAAACTAAGCTTCTAAACTGAAAATTTTTCAGTAATTTAAAAGTTTTGGAGTACTGTTGACTACAATGTCACTTTCTGGGAGGAAAAACTTTTTTGATGTTTTTATAATAGTTAAATAGTCCCTAACTCTATACCCTTCAAACTAGCCTTTAATGTATGTAAACATGACTAAAAAATTCTCTCAATTAATATGGAAAGTAGAAAGTTGCAAGCAAATGCAGTGCTTTGCTATTTTGTCCTTTCATGGGCCTCACATAGCAAGTGCACATCCTCACATCAGACACTGGAGCCTCTGGCCCTTGTCCTCAAAGCGATAACCATCTAAAGGAGAACTGGGACAACTGTACAGAAAAGCCCTAGGGATACACTCAGAGACAAATGAAACTGCAGGTGTAACTTAATACAGCTCCAAACATCTCAGGGATAGACCTACTTCTACATGTAACTTACACGTGCATTGTGATGTTTAACTTGAAGTGCCAACTTGTCTAGGCTAAGGGATGCCAGGTAGCCAGTAAAACATTATTTCTGGGTGTGTCTGTGCAGGTGTTTCCACCTCAACTATTTTTATGGAACTCGGGAAGGAGGGAAAGGAAAAGAGAAGGACAGAGCATCAACAAAATTGTAAAACATGACATCTGTGAAGGCAGAGGAAATAGGATATGTGTTGAAAGCTGTTGAAAAACAGAGGGTGGGAGGCAGAGGGGTAAGAGAGAGTAATGGAAGGGTTGAACTGACTAAAGTAAAGTAGACTCAGTGCAGGGATACATTGAGAAACCCCTCTGAACATTGACTTAGATACTAATAATGAAAGACAGGACTATAAAAAAGGTACAGTGTGTGGTGGGGGGAGAACTTGTGGGAGGGGGAGGGGGAATGAAGGAGATTAAGGTGAGGGAATATGGTTGATGGACTCCATGTAAGTATATGAACTAGAACAGAGAAACCTCTTGCAATAGTTTTAAGCGAGGCGGGGAGGGGTCGAGGGGAAGGGGGTACCGGTGATCTTACCAGTGTACAATATTAGCCTGTTTTGAATGGTCACAATGAATCCTCCCCTGTACAAGGAATATATCCTAATAAAAAAATTAATGGGGAAAAAAAGAATTTCCACCTTCTCAATGGGGGTGTATCATCCCGCTCACCAAAGGTCTGAAGAGTACAAAAAGGGAGAGGAAGAAAGAACTCTCTTTCTCTCTTCTTGACCTGGGGCATCCCTCACCTCCTGCTTCAGGTTCTCAGACATTCAGGCTTAAACTGGGAGTTTCACCATCAGCTTCCCCCGGGATCAGTCCTTCAGATTTGGGAGTGAAGTACACTGAAAGCTTTCCTGGGTCTCCAGTGGCCAGAGAATGAATCATGGGCCTTCTCAGCTTCCATAACCCCATGAGCCAATTTCCATAATAAATTTCCTCTTATATCTCTCTCCATATCCCATTGGTTCTGTTTCTATCACATACATGCATTGAGTGTAAGGGGTAAGAAATGCATATTTGCAGGATTGAATCCATGATGGTTTACTCATGGGCAGATTCATGGAGGCCAAAGGGCCTAATGTGGGCTCTGGTGGAGGGAAAGGGCTGTGGCTTAGGGGGATGGGGAGAGGTGTTTAAGAGAGGGAAGCTCCAGTGGTGGGCCAAAGCCTTCTAGGAAAAAGGTTAAGCGAATGAACTGTCAGGAGAGAGTCACATGTCAGGAGAAGGACTGGGCCTCAGGTCTGTCATGAGTGGACGACATCTAAACCCCTGTATGGGAAAGTGGACAGAATGATAGGATGAAACAATGCTACACCCTACTCCAAATGGGTAATTCCCCAGAGGAAAACGACTACACCAAGCTTACTTAGTATTTCTGATGCCAAGATCACGATGGGGTGTGTGAATGGGGAGTATCACACCAACATTAAGCTTCTTGTGTGGTATCCAGTGCAGTTTGTTTCACATTCATGTATACTGGGCACGTGCTTGATTTGCTCTAACAACTGGTAGTGATATCAACCATCCACTCTGAGCAGCTTTTAAAGATCACTGCTAATCATTTGTTGCCCTTAACGCAGAGAAACTAAAGCAGATACCTTAAAGCAACTGAGGCCAATAGGAAAAGGGGAACAGGTACTAGAGAAAAGGTTAGATCAAAAAGAATTAACCTAGAAGGTAACACCCACGCACAGGAAATCAATGTGAGCCAATGCCCTGTATAGCTATCCTTATCTCAACCAGCAAAACCCCTTGTTCCTTCCTATTATTGCTTATACTCTCTCTACAACAAAATTAGAAATAAGGGCAAAATAGTTTCTGCTGGGTATTGAGGGGGGGAGCGGGAGGGGGCGGAGCGGGTGGTAAGGGAGGGGGTGGGGCAGGGGGGAGAAATGAACCAAGCCTTGTATGCACATATGAATAATAAAAGAAAGATGAAAAAAATAAACAAATAAATAAATAAATAAATAAGTGGGAAAAAAAAAAAAGATCACTGCTAATGCAGGAAGTGTGTCTGCCTTATCAACGCTCTCTGCCTTCTCAAGGCCACCATTGGCTTAGCATTTCTCCATCTGGTCACCAACAGCCATGTTGTACTGAAGAAGCAACAACAGACACTCAGTGTTGTCAATAATCTTATGGCACATTCTTGATGACAACTGAGAACACAGCTTGAGAAAAGAACTCTCTAAGGATTTCACTGTACTCTCTGTTCTGTGTGCTCTTTG